CTAGCCTTTTCTAGCTAAATTAGTTCCATTAGAGTGTAACCTCACATTCTGCCTACTATACTTTTGAAACCTCTACAGGCCCCCTAGGGGACAATCACTTTGGGCTTTCACCCCACAACTTGTAGATTTGGACTCGGACTCGGACTCAAACTTGGACTCAAACTCGGTCTTAGTTCTAGTCTCGGTCTCTATCACGGGTTCATCTCGAGTCCATCTCGGACTCCATCTCAGGTCCATCTTAGACTCCATCTCAAGTCCATCTCAAACTCCATCTCAGGTCCACTCAGACTCCATCTTGGACTTCATCTCGGGTCCATCTCCGGCTCCATCTCGAACTCCATTTCGGGTCCATCTTGGGTCCATCTCGGATGCATCTCAGACTCCATCTCGGGTCCATCTTAGACTCCATCTCGGGTCCATCTTAGGTCCATCTTAGACTCCATCTCAAACTCTTCCACGTGTCATGTGTTAGTCCTTTTATGTCCACTTTCTAGAGACTCACTTATTGCTTGTTCATGCTTATTCCTAAAGCCCTTTGTTGGGAGTTCCACTCTTGCTTTCGACTTTTCAAATCAAAGCTTTTAGTCCAAACATGTTACGTTCGTTTAGCTTCTGCGTTGGCCACCACCATGTGGCACCCTTTCGGCTCTACTTTGGGGATTAGGGATTTATGTCTCATAATTCCACCACCTATAAATGAAGCTCAATATCCTCATTGAATGATAAACCATTTTATAAAGTAACCTATCATGGATTACCACTTTTCATCTTTGGCACCCAACCAATATCTATCAATGGTTTGACACCAAAGGCTCACTATGCTTTGTCTATCCTCTAAAGAGCATAGTCTTTCCAACTTAAAGACTCATTAGACCACTGATGGTGGTCCTTCCCCCCCTTTTTTTTGTTTATTTAGTTCATGCTAAACTTGTTTTCAATTTTACTAGTCATTCAAGAGTAGTCTCAGCTTCTACTAACATAACCATTGCACTCTAGAGCTTTAATATTGACATCTCGAGTCAATTTCCTATGTGTGTCTGACACTTTGTATTGCACCGGTTATAGGAAGTTCTTTACTAGAGGCCATCATCATCTTCTCTTTCATTTTATGCCACCGTTAGCACTAAGTTCCACTTATCCATAACTCATACTAGGCCTATCCATGGCCCTATCATTTAGCTACTTTACCACTTCATATATTTTAAAGCTTTTACCTTCGCCAAATTGGAGCATTTAGGAATTCATCCTTGGAAACATATTTATTTTCCCACAATTCATTAGCATTGCTTAAATTTTCTATTTAGATTCCTTCTAATGATTTCTATGGCCTAATCTCAGCCACTAATCTTTTGCTCCTATCCTTTGATTGTTGCACCATGCAACATAAAATCACTACCTCCATCCTTGAGATATCTTTTTCATTTCATAGCAAAAGCTCTGCTTTGCCAAGTCTAGAGGGTGTTTACCCATAATAGGTATCTTTAACATTTGGGCTCTATTCATGAGACCTACCCATAAGTCTTTTTCTTAGGGACTATTTTCTTGGACTCACCATACTATTGTATTGTTACAATTCAGTTCCTTTAGGTGTCTTTCTCACTTGGTCACTTTGACCAAGCCATACGATTACCAATAGTTCAAATCAACACTTTGAACTAGAAAATTCACAAGGACTTTATCCTTGTTTAGCCATAAGATAATCTAGTGATTTAACTTTGACACCTTAACAGGTTTACTAATAGGCATTAGGTCTTCCAGACCTTTAACTTGTTGACTATGACCTCGGGGGCATTCTTCACACTTGCCAGTGCACGCAAGCCAGCCCTTTCAACCAAGGGTCCATAACAACTAAGACTAGATGTCCCTATCTCATTCACCACGTCCTTGGTGCCACTTGCATCAAGGTGTTTAAGTTATATATGCTAAGCTTTCACATTAAGCAATCTAACTGTGCATCACAACTTTGGGGCATCCCTTGTTTGGCGGTGTGCCCAAACTAGTCTCTTTATTAAAAGTCTATGACCACCGAAAAATAAGTGTCCTCATATTCCAAACCATTACTATGCCCTATTGATTTAAGACTCGAACCCAAGCACTATAGGGTTGGGACTCAAATTTAACCTCCATATATGCATCTACGAATGGCATCACATATGATGCCTGGCATGATTCCCTATATTGATGCACCAACTTATACCTAAAACGGTTTATGGATCACAACTTAAGAACTTACTTCCTCTAAACTACCAAATCTTCTCACTTAACAAATTTATGATCATGCATGGATTTGTCTATACTTGGCCCTATGGGCCACCCCTTTTGAAGTCAACACCTTCAACTAGGGTCTTTGTTCCCCTGATTTGCTAATCTCGCTTAGCAAGCCATCTGATTAGTGTAACATGGTTTCATGCATAAGCATGAAAGTCCTTAACTATTGAGTTTCATTCAAAGCCATTCTTTGAACACTCAAAAACTATTTCCTCAACCTTATAGCCTCACCTCATGGCAAGCTTCAATAACCACACTTCTACTGTACCACTTTGATTTCTTGCATTCTATGAACTATTTATATTTGTCTTTTTAGGTACTAATCTACCTAAAATTGTCTTTGAGAACTTTGAAGGGACTCTGTCCTTTAATTTCCTAAAGCCTCTCCTTTTGCAAGCTTTTTAATTGCTATACAGTTTAACATGAACAATTCCATATCTTAAACTTTCCATGGCATTATGGTTGACAATAACAACACTTTCGAGCACCCACTTAATTCTTCACTCCCAACTTGCATAACCACTCTCGGTTATTTTTCGATTACTATAGTTCAATTTTATCCCTTTACTACTTGTTTTTGGTCTTAAACATTTCTTTCAGTTATTCTCCTCTAGACTAAGAGGATAACTTTGCACTTTCTATCATGCCTTAATAAGTATTCTTAGGGATGAACCTATGCGATACCTTTGGAAGTGGTTCCTCAATTCGGATATGCTCACCTTGTAATCCCACACATTGGGATTAACATTGTTACTTACATATCTTTATATACCTGTCACTAGCCTTGCCAAAATCTTTTTTGGCTTTGTCCAGATAGATGGATTTTTCTTGTCTCCGCAACTTTAAATATTGAATAACACTTTTTATCCATTATTCGTTAGGGACTTAGTCCCTTGGGCGTTATTTAATGCCCTTATAACACTAAACACCACTTTTTGTTGTTTTAGAGTGTTTAGGTGTCCTAATAATGAAAATCTTTGAAAATGAGCATTTCCCTTTATGACATTTGACTTACTATATCACAACATAAACAATTTATCCCCTCGTGGGATATATATTTAACTTTTTTATCCTAATAAAAAGTCTTGGGTAGTTAACTTTTACTAATTCAATCAATTGTGTTACACCTTTTGCTTAGTTGTTTCATAATTGTCAAGTTTTACAATTCATTACTGATACTTCCACACCTCCATCATTATTTGACTCATCACACTTTAATTACATGCCTTTCAGCTTAAGTTATGCTATTTTCATTTCCATTGGGATTCCTTTAGCAAAAAGATACCAAAAAATATCATCTTACATACTGTCGACAATTAACTAATATATCATACATCTGGATTTAGAGTTTGCTAAAGTTGGTCTTATAAAGTTGACAGCCTCAACCCCATTCGAAATATTTCATAATATCATTTTTATTTTGAAACTTCAGGACGTTGGTGGTTACACACACACGAAAAAGAAATCCAGTTTCACATACATTCATACTCACTGCTTGGCATAGAGAAGCAGGACCTCAGGATTCAGTGCTTGTTTGGGGACCTCAGGATTCATTGCTGTCGGGATTCACTGCTTGCTTGGGAACCTTGGGATTCAGTGCTGGCTTGGCATAGATAAACAGGCTTTCGGGATTCACTGCTTGCTTGGCATAGAGTAAGGGGGCTTCGGGATTCACTGCTTGCTTGGCATAGAATAAGGGGGCTTCGGGATTCACTGCTTGCTTGGGGTGGGATTCATTGCTGGCTTGGCATAAAAAAACAGGCTTTCGGGATTCACTGCTTGCTTGGGGACCTTGGGATTCATTGCTGGCTTGGCATAAAAAAACAGGCTTTCGGGATTCACTGCTTGCTTGGCACAGAGTAAGGGGGCTTCGGGATTCACTGCTTGCTTGGCATAGAATAACGGGGCTTCGGGATTGATTGATTGCTTGAGTTCTGGAGTTGTGTTCTCTTCTTTAGCCTTCGTTTCTGTAACCTCCTTCAGAATAGATGTTGGGTTCGTTGTTGATTGTTCAACAGCATCTATTTCGATTCGGAGAGCTAAAGTCGCCTGAAAAACGAAATAGACAATGTCAAGAGCATCTAGAGCAACTGTAAAACTTACAGTGAAGAACAACACTAGAACAAATGAAATTGCATGAGTGTTTTGTATATTACAATATGAAGCCACTTTCTTAAATAGTGTTGGTGCCAGAAAGCGCAAAGACCAGAGTAAAATATCATGTGAAAAGTCAATTCATGGCCAACTTTAGGTTTGCATATGTTTACTGAACTACAAAGAAACTTCTAATTCAGCTCATTTTATTTTTCTTTTTGGAAAAGAGGAAAACTGTTCATTGATAAATGAACAATTTTGTCGTGAAGTTCTATCAAAAGACAATATTTCTTCGAGCCTGGCCCACTGTATCAGAATGAATAATGACACACTATAATGACCACATGTTGAATAATGACACACCAACTAGCATTGGATCATGGTGCCAACTTGACATATGAACAACTCACATAGTAGTGGACAAAATAAAGCATCTAACTCAGAGTCCATATATTATAAAATATATAAATAGATTGGTTACCTTGGCTTTAGGTTTAAAGGTATTGCATCAATCATATAGCTCTAGAATGCTTCAGATGACATTTTCTAGATATTTATGGTTTCTGACATGATTTTATTATAATTTGATGAGTTGACAATCGATTAGTCCTCCATGGCGACGGGAAAAACCCTAACGTTAGGGTTTCTCGCTTGCATCCGCCGCCGGCACTTATGGAGGACCAGTTTGGTAAGTTCCCTGCTGTTGTGGTGCCAAATCCAGACGAACGAGAGTTGCCGCTGGATGACTTCATATCCAAGGTCCAGGAGCACAAAGCCTGGATCCATGACAAGCTCGCTCGCAATGGAGCATTGCTCTTAAGAGGATTTCCGGTGAAAGACGCAGCGGATTTTGATCAAGTTATCAAAGCTCTGGACTACAAGATCTTGCATGATCACTTTGGGAGCCAAGATCGGAAACACGTCAAAGGCTCGGTTTACACAGCAAATGACGACCTCCCTCTCGAGATTCCAATCGGCTTCCACAACGAAATTACTTATGTAAGCTTGGACAGTAGAGAAATTTGCCAGTCGTGAAGCTTTCCTTGCAGATGCCCGTCATTCCCGACGTGCTTGTTTTCTACTGCGAGGTTGCACCGCCCCAAGGATGTGGTGGCGCGACGGGCATTGTGAGAGGGGATGATGTCTACGAGGACTTGTCCAAAAAATTCCCTAGCTTTCTTCAAGATTTGGAGGACAAGGGAGCGATATATTGCTTCACCGTGCCAGCATCGGAGCAACCAAAATATGGCAGGTACCACACCACATTCTTCTTCAATGGATAGTTATATGAGATTTCTTTCCTTCAGCAATATGAATGGGTACAAGAGAAAGCAGCTTGAGAATGGACTCGTGAAGCTCTACCTTGGGCCTTGCCCAGCAATCAAGCAGCTTCCAAGCGGCAAGAAGGCATGGTTTAATGCGATTGGATCAAGCTACGTCCGTGATTCTAGCGAGCCATATGTTGAGTTTGGAGACGAGACAGCCATGCCCACGGATGCTATCAAAGCCGCCTGTGAAATCATGCAGGAGAAACAATTTGCTGTGCAGTGGGAGCAAGGGGACGTGCTCATGCTGGAAAATTCTCATGTGCTCCATTCTAGACATTCCACTTCCAAGCTCGAGCCTACTCGCAAAATCCTTGTGTCCATGCTCAAGTATTGATTGTATTGTTTACCGAATCTCTATTTCTCTTGTTAACAAGCTGTTAAACGAAACTCTGCTTTATTAAACTACATTTATTTTGAAATTGAATAAATGAACGGGCGTAGGCAAAAGCCTTTATCATTTCCATGTCTATTGGCGGTCACGTTTTGCTACGTATCTTGCTTGCGATTTCTCTCGTGCATCATGTGGTCAGCTTCAAGAGCCTCTTAGTCATGAGCTCTCGCTCATTCTCAACTCTTACTTTTGTTTTTGACGCAGGGGTGTCTCCTTCCTGGCTCAATACTGGAGAGGCTGTCGCCCTTGGATGATGCCTCCAAAATGCGCATCAAGCGGGAAATCCATGCTTCCGGCACCATGTCACTCGAGTCGTGCAAAAAAAGCCGGCTTCCTGTGTGCCACCACATTGATCATCACCGCCAGCATCATCACCTTGCCAGGAGTGCAATGGAATCTAACCTTGGAATTTGATCCCCCAAGCTTTTCTTCCAGATGAACATGCTTGTCGGCTGCCACCGCCTCTCCTCTGGGACAACTCAATTCCTCCCAGTATGTTCATGCATTCACTCCTTGAGCCAGTTCTTGGAACCATGGTTTCTCACGACTGCTGCCAACGATGCAAATCCTGATGCAGTCTTCTGTATCAAAGGCAATGTGGGACAGCTTGAGCATGTGTTCTATGGATGCCAGCATCAAGGACGAGATCAAGGCGTGCCATGTCTCCGTGAAGACTATCCTGGAGCAAGCGTCTTCAATAGTCAGCAGGCCCGATTTGAAGCATGTCATAAACACTGTGAGCGATGTGGAGGGGAATTTGAGGTGGTAGAAAAGGCTATGGTTGCTACAGATGGGACTCTAGCTTGTCATCCCATGACATTTCCATATGCACTCTACATGTGCCATACAATTCGCTTATGGTGACACTGAAACCATATTCACAATCTTGCAGCAAGCTTGTGGAGGTTCCTGCAGTTTGTCACTTGGACACCTCAGGCTTTGACCCATCCCACATTTCATTCAAAGTGCTACACATGAACCTTGGTGTGGGAGAAGTCTGCCACTGGCTCTTAGAGTGTCACTTTGTTTGGTATTAACATCTCAAATCAAATGTCTCAAATAAGAAAATATTAAAGATTATATACTATTTTGAAAGTTTTGCAATGCTCACCCTGAAGCATGAGAGGGATGGATATATTGTTAAGATTTGGAGCTAAATAACAAATATAAAGAGGTTTAACCTTGTTTGGGTAACATTTTGAAATTCTTTACCACTTAAGCACCCCCAAGTTACCTCAAAAGCTCTACCATGCCTTAATCTTACCTATTGACCATGTAAAAATTCTTCCCCCAACAAAGTCTTTATCTTAAAGATAAGTCATATTGATGATCACCTTTTTTAGGGAACTTTACTCAAATTCATGATCCATCATCTATAACTATATACATCTAGAAGGTCCTTTCATTCCAAAATAATACACACTTCAATTGACCAACATATAATATTAGATGAATTTTCACTTTAGCTGGTAGCCACACTTGATAAGCCACTTAACTAATGCACTCCAACACTTTTTATGGACCAATATATTTGTGAAAAAGTTTATCACTTATCCCACTTTGCAAAAACCCTAAAATGTTTATCACTCATTTGATGGAAAGTTATTTGCACAAAAACGAGGTCTCCCACCTTATATTCCCAAAATTAATAATGCTTATTAGCAAGCTTTTATACCCTTTCTTGAGCTACTTGCAAATTTTACTTACATACCATGGTGGCCAAATCAACCACATCTGAATCAAGTTTGTTTAGAAGATCAATGTAATTTTCTTTTTGGTGAATGCTACAGTATAATACATCCTCCATCACCTCATTTACATGCTTGATTTACGTATTTGTCTCTCCACTCAAGAGCTTTAAAGTCCTTTATATATGCTTTGCAAATATATCACACGTGGTTTTCACTTTTTATATGGTGTTTTACAATAGGATAACTACAAAGCGGAACTGTAACCCTTAGCCACCTGGGCCAAGGGCAGTGGAGCGGAACCCAAGTTCAGAGCCTTAGGCCACCACACAAAGGGATGGAGCTTGTCAAATCTATCAAGTGTCAAATACAAAATCACACTCACATTCAGAGGTGAAATGACCATCTCATGGTTGTCAACTTGAACACCATCCTGAAAAATCTTTTACAGAAAAAGCAACCACTCATGAAACTCCCAAACATATAGCTAAAGAGCGTAAAAAACCAAAGCATGAAACCACTCCCAAGCATATAGCCCAAGAAGTAAAAGGACAACAGCATGGAGTGATTCGTACAACCCAAAAAGTGAAAGGACAGGAGCTTGAAGTGCAATTCTAAAGCTTCCAACATCTTAATAGATGCTGCACATCTGACCATCATAGTCAAATTGTGATGGCTACATCAGCAATTTGAAGTGATGTTGCCCTAGTACATGTCACCATCACTGTCATTTTTTTAATAGTGGCATTGTGACAATGAAATCAATTTGAATGTTTTTCAAAACCGGCCCAGCCAATTGACCACTGTCAAACTTGCAAGCAGGCTAAAATGCTAATATGTCAATTATTTCCTCCTGCCACTATTGCTGATGTGTCAATTCTTGGTTTTAGGGTTTTGAGCAAAATGGGAGAGCAGCAGCCAAATGACTTGGAGATCATGTTCTCCACTCAATGTCAGCAAGATTCTGTATGATGGTTCTCAATTCAGCAAGGGGAATTTTACTACTCCCACTCCACCAAAGCTTCTGAAACCAATTGGAAATCAGGGGCATTGGTCTTTGAATGAATTTTTGGTTATAAATGAAGCAAAGAAGCATGATTTCTTCTTACACAGTGAGGCAACATTCAGGAGAGGCACAAGACTACAAGCATTCGTCGACAAGTTTGTTTGTATCAGTTGTCTAGCAATAGAAACATGCATGGATCAAAGCTAAATTGAAAGGAAAGAAAGAACTTTGCCAACCAATTTAACAGCTACCAAAATCCCACTATGCTAATTATAATATACAATATTGTAGCCATACACTTGGACCTCACATCATCCCCTTCTCTCGGAATAATGGAAGACTATCAGGGTTCTCTTGTAGATGGGCCTGGATCTAAAGGAATGTTAGGAGGAGGCATCGGCGGATCTGTAGGTGGTATCAGTTGTTCATAATCCCTTTATACAAAGTGTTTCAACCACTACGCACAATTTCTGGAGGATCGGCTTGCTAGATGTCATGTCCAACCTTATAAACTTGTGATCCAACTTGCCACAATGGTCCTTTCCACTGAGCATGGAGCCCTTTAGATAAATCATGTACCATAAGATATGGAAAATAGACTAACACCAAGTCATCCACTTTGTACTCTGCAGGTGAATGATGATGGGAGTTGTAATGCCGTTATTGTCCCAATTGTATCTGGCTTAAGTGTTCAACAAACTCTTTTTGGATAAGTGGAAGAAAGCTCATCAAATACTGATCCCACGACCTAGCATCAATAGCTCGTGGCAATCGCAAAGATAAACCCATTTCCATTAGTAATATTAGATTATGACTATATAAAAGTTTATATGGTGAAGCACCAATAGAACTTTGCACCCTTGTGATATATGCATATTGAAGAAATGGCAAATAACCATTCCAATCCGAATGCTAAAAGTTCACATACTTTGCGATCATTTCTTTGAATGCCAAACGAGCCGTTCCACCAAACTATCTGACTATGGATAATAAACACTCATGAAAGTGTGGTATATCCCCAACCGAGAGGTCAAAACATGAAATGCTTCAGCCATAAATGCGGGACCATTATCCGAAAGAATTTGCTCTAGACAAGAATACTAGAACACCACTCGATTGAGGAAGAAGTATCCAACAGTAATTGCATAGGTGCTAGCAAGAGCACCAACTTCCACCCAACAAGTCAAATAGTTAGAAGCAATAATAACATATTCATTGTCAGTAGTTAATCATGGAAAAGGTCCTATAAGATTAAATGCCATTAACTCAAATGGACAGGAAACTGCAATTGACTCTAACTATCCTTTTGCAGAATGAAGGGGAGTATTATGAGCTTGGCACCAAACATAGCTATGCACATACCGGATAACATTATGTTGCATCTCTAGCTAATAGAAAGACTTGCACAGCTTCTTGGTCATATGACGATGTCCCATATGCCCGCCTAGGATAGGAGAATCATGGTAGGTATGAAGAAACCGTGGAATAAAGATGGAAGGCACCACCAGCCATAAATGATCATCAGGATCTATCCCCACAAAATAAAGAAGGCTATCTTCAAGGTGATATTGAGAATGCAAATGCCAGAATGGCAAGTCATTAGTAAGTGATACAAAATTCTTAAACCCATCTTGAAGCCTTTGAATCCATGGCTCAATCTTTTGAGCCTTGCAAACCTCATCAAGAGAAGGTAGATCTTGCTCTATGCCTTGTGGACATTGAACATCAAGTACAACAACTACCGATGGCACAGAATCCTCATTAAGAAAATCCACAGATACTAAAACAACAGGCTGGTCAAAAACATGAGAAGAGAGTGGAGAAGGAAGAGGAGCTCGAGAAAGGGCATCAGCATCAGCCATAGAACTCCCTAGGCACAGAATCTTTATCTAGAAAATCCACAGATGCTAAAACAACAGGCTCTTCAAAAACATGAGAAGAGAGTGAAGAAGGAAGAGGAGCTCCAAAAAGGGCATTAGCATCAGCCATAGAACTCCCCGGGCGATGAACAATATTAAAATCATATGTCTAAAGCTTCAAAGCCCATTGAACAATACGATTAACAAAGTTCTTCCGCTTCAATAATGAAGTAAC